AAAACCTTCTAAAGTGATATCTGTCATGGAGGCTTCAGGGTCTGCAATCAAAGGAATTCTTCACATTAACGATTACATCTATTAGCCATCTCACCTTGCATTCTCTTAAAATATGAGGTTTCCGTATATCTAGAAAACAACATGCTTTTATGGAGGAGTTGCGTGGGCTAAAGTTTTCAACAGGAACATGACAGAGATTTGTGCTGAAATACGTTTTCTTCCGGCAGTTCCATGGAAGGGCTTGTGTGTGCCTTTCAAAACATGAAAGACTAAACATGCCTTTAACTGAAAAGCATAATCTCTGATAAACTTCTGAGCTTAGGTTTTCGGGAATGGGGTTGCAGCATTGAAAACAATCACCCACAGGGCCCTCATATCTGAGCTCTCCAGTGCATGGTGCGTGTTACTTTGATCTGCCCTCTCTGAAATTATGTGAGTTTGGGTCTTAGAAAGAGCTTACCTTTGGAGCCAGATAAACCTGGGCTTTAAACCTGACTCCACTACTTACTAGTTGGGGAGCCCTGAGTCACTAACTTACCTCTAAGGGCCTCATTTATCATCTACAAAATAGGAATCACAGCTACTTTGTAAGATTAGTGGAAGAATGCAACTATTTTGTAATGAATACAAAACATTTAGTTCAGTGGCTGGTACAAAATAAACACTCAATAAATTTTATTAAAAAATAATTATGATTTCTCCAATGATTGGATTTAGTGCTTACCAAGAGGTCTTTGGAAACCTTTTGACCCCCTGGGAATGAGCGTGAGTTGCCTATAGGATATCTAAGGGATGCCTAGTCTGGAATGTTTAAGGTAATGGGCATGGCAATGGTAATTGATATCTTACACATGGGTAATATCACAGTAGCAATTGAGTAGCAGATTAATTAGTAGTAGACCGATTTTCAGCTCATTCTATATCCATAGTTTTTGCCCTCCCATGTGACAGCCCTTCAAATATAACTTTTTGATTTTAGTTCCTTAAATTATCCACAGCACAACATAGTGCTGTGGATAATTTATGTCATATCAGGCCACATCTGGGGTATATCAAACAGTTCAAGACCCTTCACTTCATAAAAACTATGGCATATCCCCTGCTCTGCCTCATTTTAGTAACTAAGCTTCAGTTTCTCTATCTGGGAGAATAATGACACTTTGAACTGTCGCTGTAAAAATGAAATGAGTAATCTATGTGAGAACACCTAGCATAATGCCTACCATATAACAAGCTCTCAGTCAGCAACGGTAATTGTCATTTCCTGTGTGATCTTCACACAGCTAGTTCCTCATAATTATTTTCGGCAACAACAGCTCAGTGTTGATTCACATTGAGTTTGCTGTACATTAAATCTCATGTCTCTTTAACATGTTAATTCTGTCCCATCCTGTAAAGGAAAAACCCTTCGAGAAGATACTGAGACAGTGCTTCTGTGTTCCTATGGATTTCGATAGATAACTCCCCAAACCTTCTGCTCCTCCTCTGGTCTCAATTTCTATTAATGACATCACTGTCTGCCCAGGCTTCTCAAAAAAACCACTAAGAATACATAATACATTTATATTAATTATGTATGTAGGATTCTATATACAGAAAAATATATGTATCTGTTAAATTTGAAAGGATGTTATATACTAGATGCTTTGTTTTGGTAGAATATATTTATATAACCAAAAGAAAAAAATAAGTGTTGAAAGAAATCACAGCTCTCAAGCCAAAGGAGTGAAAGAAAGAAGAATCCAGATAGGTATCAGAATAGCATTAAATCGAGAACAAAATAAGAATGCTCCTTTTTTATTTCCAACATTGTTCTGAAAATTCTGATCAAAATAGGAAATATAATTATAAACCAAAATAGTATTAATAAAGAGGAAAAAACTAGTTGATGATCTTCATCTCACTAGACAACCTAAGAATGAACTAAAAATTATTATATTGATGAGTATTAAGTAAAATAACTATACTTAAAATACATATTATTTAAAGTAATGGCATTCCTATATATAACAATAAGCCGTTAGAAGTTACCATAATAAAAATATCTCATTGAGAGTAACAATAAAAATGTAAAATAACTGAGAATTATCTTAAAGTAAATGTTTTTGACTATTCAAGGGGAACTACGAAAAGTTTATAGAGGTGTGAAAGGTATTTGAATAAGTGGGAAGTCATAACATCATGAATGGAAAGATTAATTACTAATAAGGTGTTAATCTTCCTAAAATTAATTTATAGTTTCAATGAGATTCAGATTTTAAAAACCTCAATGATCCTGTTCTGTAGAGGAGAGAAGAAACAAGGAAAAGGCAATTAACAAAAATTCTTTAAGACTAATTTGGATGAATAAACACACAAAAGATTAATCTCCTTATTGTAAAAAATAAGAAGCTCTTTTCAAAACAATGAGAAAAACATTAAATATTTTTAGAAAAATGAAGGAGAACTAAAAGTAGACAATCACAGAATAAATATAAATGGGTAACAAACGAAAATTTTCACTTTTTTGTAATAATATATATATTAATTTTTTAAATGAGATCACTTTCCGCTTTCCAAATTGGTGAATAGTTTTAAACACCAACATACAATGCTGGAGGAAAAAATATCATAGGAACAGTGGCATCATTATGACAGAGATATAAATGGATGTGCTTCTTTTGGAAAGCGATTTGGTGATAACATTCAAAAGCATTTACAGTGTTCTAAATAATTCCATTTATAAAATATATATTAAGTAAATAAAACCATGGATGAAGATTTATGCACGAAGACATTCACCTTTCATTGATGATAACTGAAATGGAATAGATAACTCTGAAACAGAGCTTTTATTATTGTTGACAATAATTATTCCAGGTTTCCATGGCAGTTTCCATCCCTTTCTCCCTTTACTTCTAGCCAGACCATGGTAGTCTTGGTGACAAAGGGAAGAGAATGGAGAAGAGACAGGAAAGGCCCCAATTTCATAGTGTCACCCCCAAGGGCCTATAACAAATGCCACAAATTCTGCTATTGGCAATTATAATCCTTTGAGTCAATGAGCCATCCGCAGTTAAGGTACAAATGAACTGAAAGGAGCTGCTCGCTGACCCCTAGCTTAACCAATAGGTCCGAGCACAGGATGGTGCCCATGTAGTAAATGAAAATAATAGTTAGATTTATCTCTAGATTTTTGGGGTTTTTTGGTTTGGTTTGGTTTTCTGTAAATGGTATCTTTTTTTTTTTAAATTGCCTTTATAATCCTTTATTGTTAGTATATAGAAATGCTGCATTATTACTCAGTTCTTTTTGAAACAAGATAAATTTCCTACTCTTCAGGTTTGAGAGCTGAAGTTAGATGTGTCAATAGGCACTCAATAAATTAGATATTCAGGGCTGACATTCAGTGGTACACAATACCATCACTGTACTGGTTATTAAAATTTTGAAATATTTCCACAGTGGAGCTCCTTCTTTCTCCCCTGGCACCCTGGTCATCCTGGACTCCCCGTGGACAGACCCAGACCTCTTCAAGCTCCAGACATGACTAATAAGGTTTATCATCTTTTCTGGTATTAACTGGACATTCGTGTAGCTTCTTTATAAAAGGAAATTTTGTGTCTTTCTCCAAATTTCTTCTATTGGAATGCCTGCCTTTCTTTCTTTCTTCCTTTCTTTCTTTCTTTCTTTCTTTCTTTCTTTCTTTCAATGTGCCTTGTCACCTTGGTTGTTCATGGTGCTTAATGGACTATTTCTTCACCTGGGAATTAATAGAAGTGTATTCTGCTGCTTTTACCAAAAGAAGATTTATTATATAAAGGTCTTCTTTCTTTCTTTCTTTCAATGTGCCCCTTTTTGCCTACTCCTGGCCAACTGTTCCCGCTCGCATTCTTACTGGTATGATACTGGAGATAATATGATCTGCCTCATAGAGCTGCCGTGTAAATCAAATGGAACAACACTCACTGAGAACTCAGCCCAGCACCTGCACATGCTGGGCACCTAATGTTAACAGTGATTAGTAATAACATTATTCTTAGTTCCTTACCCCTATATGACTCCTGTTTTGTCAAGCAAAGCCTTTCATGCTTGGCCTCAGACACCCCCGTTCACCCTCCTGAACCCTATACTCTAGCTAGTGAAACTGTTTATTTTGCCTTCACCACATCAAGTTCTTTTGTCTTCCCATGCTTTTGCAAATGCCCTTCATTCTGCCGGCAATGTCTTCCTTCTTCACTGTAGATTCATTGTTTAAGAACCAGCTCACCATCATGCTTTCTGTGAAGCCTTCCTCAGATGATTTACACAAAAGAAATGCCTCCTCCCCCTGTGAGCTCATGGCCCTCTGCTCATATCTCCTCTGTAAATCCTGCCTGGACTGGAGTTCTTGGAAGACAGAGTTTGTACGTGCTCATCTTTGTGGTCAACGTTGTATCCACAGTCACCAAAATCGGTGAGCCCATATTACGGGCTCAGTACCTGCAGGGCTTTTGCTCATTTTGTTTTATTGGAATGAATGAATGAATGAATGGGAATGGTTTTTACTTCACCCTAGACCTAGCAGAAAAGTTTGAGTAGTGACATTGTTGGTTATTTTGTGTAACCTGGTATTGGACTCTTCTTTCCGTGCCCCAAGAAAAATATTTCCAAATACTAGAGTACTTGTCTTCCTAAGGAATGGAACTCAGCAAAGGAAAGGCCCTTTGAAAGCAGTGAGTGATGAGCCGATCAACTCTGTCTTCGCAGCTGTCCCTGAGAGGGCGCTATTCTCAAATCAAACCTCCAGAGGCCGGCTCTGAAATACCAGCGCGTTCCCACAGGATTGAGCATCCCTCCCTTCCCAGGCAGCGGCCGCCGGTCCCCTGAGGAGCGTCTGCCCACAAACATGGCTGCGCCCGGCTCAGCTTCTCCTCGCCGAGACCCGCTGGCCAGGCCGGCCTTGCCAGTACTCGGGGACTTCCTCCACGAGCCCGCTTCCTGCACCGCTGGCATTTAAACCGTCGCCTAGGGCTGCGGGCTGCTGCTGCGGATGCTGAGCTGTCCGCGGGCTGGGCAGCGCTGCCACCTCCCTTGAGCCGCCCGGCCCTGCAGGAGCGGAGCCGAATCATCCCCTAACTGTACCCCGGCCGGAGCAGGAGAGGTCTGGGGGCAGATCGCGAATTCCGGCATCTGGCAGCTTAATTACAGGTTTGACTTTAATTTCCAAGATCGAACTCTCCTTGCTCAGCCCGGATATTTTTTCTCCCACTGGCCTTGGTTGCTGGATGAAGCTTGGTCCCAGGAGCTTGGGAAGAGTTCGCTCTTGGCTCCGCGACGTCGCCCCTGGGGACTCCGAAGCCGCGCGACCTCCAGGTGAGGCGGCGGCGCGACTCCGAGCCCGGCGGGCCCGCCCTGCGGAGCATCTTCCTCCGAAGAGCCAAGGGCTCCAGGACGCGGGGCTCCGCGCCCTCCCACTGGGGCTGCGTGCAGGGGGCGAGAGGCAGCCGCGATGTTCAGCTGGCTGGGGTCTGACGACCGCCGGAGGAAGGACCCCGAGGTCTTTCAGACAGTGAGCGAGGGGCTCAAGAAACTCTACAAGAGCAAGCTGCTGCCCCTGGAAGAGCATTACCGCTTCCACGAGTTTCACTCGCCCGCCCTGGAGGATGCTGATTTCGACAACAAGCCCATGGTCCTGCTGGTGGGCCAGTACTCCACTGGGAAGACCACTTTCATCAGGTGAGCGGGTCTAGGGGCCTGGCAGCCTAATCTGCCGCCCAGTGATTAGGCCTTCCATTCACTCCCGGTGCCCCCTCCTGCCTGGGGACAGCCTTCACTTGAAATCTGAAGAAATCCGTGTGCGTGTGTGTGTGTGTGTGTGTGTGTGTGTGTGTATGTGTGCGCGAGCGCGCGCGAGCACAGCTTACACCCAATTTTATATTTTTCCTCCTGCCTGGGGACAGCCTTCACTTGAAATCTGAAGAAATCCGTGTGCGTGTGTGTGTGTGTGTGTGTGTGTGTGTGTGTATGTGTGCGCGCGCGCGCGCGCGCAAAGCTTACCCCCACAATTTCATTTTTGGTCCTCTGCCGCATCCTTACTAGTGCCTCTCCACTGTACTTGAACCTTGGCTCAGGTAGTCTGTTCGAAGTGTTCAATTTCAGAGCCATCCCTATTCTCCCCATTTTATGGATGGTAAAAGCGAGGCCCAAGAGGCACGAGTGAGAAAATTTCTGGTCCCAAGAGTACCTTTATGATGGTGGGGGTGTCTTACACCCTCACTTTTTAGAGACATGTCCTTCATGGCCAGGACCACTTCTTTTGCCTTTTAAAGGCTTTGGCCACTCACATGAGTGCTTTACAGTTGCAGCTGAGTAGATGGGCTGGGGACCTTGTGGTCCCACTGCCTGATAGTGTCACTTGTCCTATTATCAGTTTCCTTTTCCGAGCAGAGCTCCTACATAAAGCTCTTGGTAAATGGACAGAAGCAATATCTACAAACAATGTTTTTTTCTTTTCCCTTATTTTATCTTCATGGCTCAGTAATAATATTAAAGTCTTTTAGAGGTAGAAGGATATTGATGATGATCTCATCCAGCCCATTGAATTGACAGATGAAATAACTGAGGCATAGAAAGATTAAATGCATTGTCCAGAGTCATATAACTGGGGGTGAGGCCAACATGGGATGCTGGTCTTAGATGCATGGGAAGAAAAGCAGCAAAGTTAAGTTAATGGTCTGATTACGGATATTCTAGATATATATTTTCTCTACTGCTAAGCTTATAAAACAAGTCTTCTGGAAACAGGACATGCTCCACACTAACACTTTATGGCTGAACAGTGTAACAGATCAAGTTTGCCCTTATTGGGTGGACAGCTTTGGGCTCAGCAGCTCTGAGAGACTGAGTGATTTTTGAAGAAGTTTGGTACCCAGGTGGGGAAGTGGGAGGGGGCGGATGGGCCGGTTATCTTGGATCTCTTATATTGTTAGAACTACAAGAGCCCTTAGCCATGAATCTAATTTATTGCTTCTTAACTTTTTAAAAGATCAATATTTTCTTTGAAAATCTGATGAAAGCTGTGGCTTATCTTTAGAAAAATGCACAAATATCCCAAATTTACATATAACCTTAGGGGCCCAAGGGCCGCTTTGGACCTTAGGGTGAGAACCCTGACCTAATCCATCTCTTTTATCAAACACTCATTGCTACCAAAGACACTCCAGAGGTACAAAGACACTCCAGAGGTACCTACCTGGGTTCTCTACAAGGTTTCCTTTGTATTCGATGTCTTCCGCATGGCCTGGATTTTGCCCCACAGAAAGTCCAGGCCATGCACAGATGGCTCCTGCCCTTATACAGCCTTCTCTGGCCCTCTGGACACACCTTGGTTATTTAGAGCCTCTTCTTTCTGTCACACCAGCACTTAACAACTGTGCCTTAGCTCCTGGGGGCTTTGCCTGGGGTCACAGCCACAGGAGGTTTCTATTATACAATCACAGAATGGGAGGGAAGGTGGGGAAAGGCAAGTATCCCTTGGGACAGAATCCCCAAGCAGCAGACTGGTTTAAGTGCCTCTTGTCTCAGACAGTCTCTTGGTTTTGCCTGCGTCATGCTGGCTGTTAACTGGGTCTGAGAAAGTGGCTGGGTTGAGTCGCCATAGATTATTCATTATCTGAGGGAAACAGGAAAGCTGGAAGAGGCAGATCCCTCCTCTTTCTTACCATCCAAGTACAAGAGTTCTCTCTCCCCATTCCTGTCAGTAACTGAATTTAGCTCATGCAGCAAAAGCTGCCCCCGCATGAGGGAGAGCACCAGCAGGGCGGGTGGGGTCACGGCGCAGCGAAGCCTTCCTAAACCAAATTACGGATTTTCCTGCTTTCTCAGTAAATCTACTGAAGAGTTATTTTCTTTAAATTGGAATATGCAAGAGAAGAATAAATTTGAGGAACGAAGAAAAAAAATCACCTATAATCCCACAACTCGAGGAAAACCATTTTAAATATCATTCATATATGTACATACATATATATATATATATCTCTCTCTCCAGTATTTTTAGCTATTTTATAACACAGTTGAGATCAGGTCAGAATGTAATTTTGTATGCTGATTTATTTCACTTATAGTATGAGCATTTCCCATATAAATCAAAGAATCTTCGTAAGCATTATTTTTAAGAGCTGCATGATATTTTGTTGTATGTATATGCAGTTATTCACTTCACCAGCCTACTTCTTTTGAATGTTTTAGATTGTTTCTGATTTTCTTACTATTGTAGAATCACTCCGAATATTTCTGTGCATAATATTTTTCCACAGATTGGACTGGTTTCTCAGAGATTCCCAGCAATGAAATCACTAGGTCAAAGATTGTGTGGTTCTTTTTGTTTGTTTTATTTTTTAATCTCGATATTCAGAGTTACATTTCTGAGTTGCTTTCCAGGAGAGTAAATTGGTACAACACCCCTTCCTCAAAGCAAGGAGGCTGGGCTTGGGGTAGCTAGGTGCACAAGCTGTAGATCTTAGATGCCTTCCCTCCACCCCCTCCCGAGCCTGCTTCTCGCCTTGAGTGCAGTGATTATCCTCTCCATCCCTGGCCTGAACCTGTGTGGGACCTTTCCCTTGGGAACAAAGACTGGCCTCTTCATTCCCCAGCCTTTGGCCTTTTGCCTCCAGAGTGCCCACCCACTTTCAGTTATATGTACTTGCCGCGGGGTCTATTTCTTTTCTCAGGAAGTGTACGCAGAAAAGGACATTCTTCTAATAACTAATTAATGTGCTATGATCTCTGCCTGAAATAACTTCCCTGGCCTAAGGCCCGGCAACCCAGAGTAATAAAATAAACAATAAATTGGCCTGGTGGCTGCTCCTTCCAACACAGGCTGCCTCTTCGGAGTACAGTAGCTCTGTGTCCCTCTGGCCCTGGCGGCCTTTCCTTCTGCTTCTGCTGTTTTTCTCCCTTCACGCTTCCTCTTGCTGGCATGCATCCTCGAATCTCTCCCCCCGTTGCATCATTTGGCCCCCTGATCACAGAGGTGAATAGCTGGCTTTTCCAGGGACTGAGGAAGGCCCAGTGCTCTCATGGGCCATAAGGAAGGCCTGGCTGGACCACAGCAGAGCTGAAATAGAAGACCAGGGAGTCAGGTGTGGAGCCTGGGGTTGCCAGAGAGAGCCAAGCTGCCTGTGTCTGCATGGGAGGGTCTGGGCGGATCTCAAGGGTAACTGAAGTATGAACACCTAGTGGGGCTGCTGGGGCCAGGATGGGGAGTGCTATTCAGCTAGCCCTTTTGACCTCCCCTAATTCCGTAGGGGGCTGTTTGAATCCTCTCCAAAGGTGACTCAGCATGCCTGTGGCTCTCCATCTCTCATTAACCACCCTGGCATCCCTGCCACCCAGGCCTCACTCCGTGTATTACAGCATCACTATCCCAGGAAAGGTGATTCTCTGCAAAGCCGAAGGGCTAAAGAAAGGGGCCACCATTCCAGGTAGACCCACTGACCTCCGTGAGGTCTATCCTGCCAGCCACAGTCCCTGAAACACCCTATCCTGTCCACCCTGAGGACAATGAATGTCCTTTTTCTGTCAGGGCTTTGATCTGCTAGGCCCTAGGTAGGCCCACCTGCCTCAGGTCCAGCGTGAGATCTGCATTGAAAGTCAGGTGTGTGGAGGTCATCAGGAGAAACTGATTGGAGGAGAAGGACCTCTGGAGAAAGGGCTCCATCTCATTACCATTGACAATGGGACCAGGCCATGAGAAGAGCACAGCTGGCTCAGCAGAATCCAGGATCCACCAGGTACCAACCAAGAGAGCTTTTTAGCAAGACCTAAGCCTTCTGAACCTCAGTTTCCTTATCCCTAACATGTGGATAGGAACAACTACATCTTAGAGTTACTCTCAGGAATTGGAGGGGAAAGAACCAACGTAGCTCCAGTTATGCTCCAGGCACTGTGCTTGTGGCTTTAGCATTCCCTCTCCTCATTCTAGATGATTCTCTAAGAAGAAGCTTAGAGGCTGGCCCTCAGGAGGTAAGGGAAACCCTTGTCTGGCACCACCCACAGTTGGGATGAAGGGGAAGGGGAAGTGTGCTCAGGGAGGCCTAAAGGAAGAGCATGAGCCGGACTCTGGGCAGTGCTGGGAAGCGGACTAGGCAGCCGGCCTAGCTCAGGGTGAGGTCAGCAAGCGGAGGCGGGTAGGGGCTCTACCGTGTGTCCATTAGTCCTTTGTACTCGGGTCACTTCATCCCATGGCAGAGGCTGCTGCCCCAGGGACAGTGGTGTCTGCTCTGGGGAGCACAGAACTGACTCAGACCTCAACTCCACCATCGGAGGTGTCCCACCTACTTCCTCACTTTGTGTCTCTGGGGTGCTTTACTGTCTCCCTAAAACCCTGTGAGGCTGGTAGGGCAAGTATTATTATTTGGACTCTTTTAAAGCTGAAGTACCCAAGGCTTAGAGAGACCAAAGACTCAGACATACAACATGAATATCTATAATATAAGGCAGAAAGTGATATGTGCCTTTTAGAGTCTACTAAAGATAAGCAAATTAAGAGCTTGTAGATTTTCAGGAAGAGGGTAAGTCAGGTTGGGGTGAGGTGGGAATGAATCAGTTAAGGCTTCACAAGGAGACACTGGGACAGGGTTTGGAGACAAGGCAGAAATGCCCTGAGTACTCACAGGCAACAATGAGGTGTTGGTTTTCTCTAATTATTATCTCTGCTCATATGAGCAAATGTCTGGAGGAGCTTTGCTTTCCCTAAACCAATGGATGTCATCTCAAAACCACCCTGTTCCTCTGAGCTAGTTAGAAACCAAGCATTATTTCCATTTTAGAAATCAGAGAGACTGAGCGAGTGGGCTGTTGGTAGACATGTTCAAGGTCATATCTGTGATGGAGCAGCCACTCATGAAGGTGCATTCGCCAACTGAGCCAAGGCAGGGGACCCAGCCCACGGCACCACTGTTTGGGGAGAACAGCCTCTCTGTTCTCCTGCCCCGGGTGCTGTCCCAGCAGCAGCCTGAGGTCTGGCCCCACCGCTGTGTGGATGGGCACTTTGGAGGCAGACTGGGTTAAGATTCTTGGCTCCACGCCTTACCCTGGGTGCTTAGGTCACCAGTAAAGCAGACCACGTGCTTAGATTGCCAGGCAAGCAAGACACACAGAAACAAACAAACCAAAAAATGAGGAAAATGTCCTAAAAGAATTTACTGAAGAAAAATAGGCATAGTCCTCATGGGAAAAATCAAAATTGTGTTAGACTTCCTTACACCTATTTTATGGTTTTAGTACTTATTTTGCATTGGATGGTGGGGAGGGGGCGTGGAGGGTGCACCAAAATCTTTTCAGCTCTTAGAGCCGCTAAATATATTCATTTAGCCCTGAACTTGGGCAGCCTAGATCTCAATTTACTCCACTGCAAAACTGAAATAATGCTGCCATCCCACACAGTGCTCGTGGGACAGATTCAGTGGAATCATCCAGGTAAAGGTCCCTGAACAGCCTGCTGTGTCCCTCCTTATCCTCGGACGTCCCCAAGCAAGCCAAAGCCCTCCGGTGTGCAGGGGTGGTCACCTCGCCCATGCTTGAATTAACCTTTCTTTGTTTCTGCTGCCGTGGGAACGGTTTCGCCTGGCAACAGAGGCGATTCGTATCACTTCCCATAGAGCAGCGGTGATGAGATCCTCAATAGGTTGTCCTTTCTGGACACAGTGGTGGCTTTGTTAAGGGAGCACCCAGTGCTGCAAGCCATACTCAAATGTCCCTGAGAATTTACTCAGCTCCAGTTCTCTGCTTAGCTCCACCGTGGCCCTGGACATTCTGGTGGCCTTGCTGGACTCTGTTTCTCTAGATCCATGTGTGGTCAGCGAGTTCGGGGTCATGTGGGCTTAGCCAAGAGGGCAGGACAGCAGGCCCACCTCCGGGCCCTTTCCCCGCTGACTCAGGCTGCAGCCCCAGAGCATCCCAGGAAGTGGCCCTGTGATCTGGAAGCGTCATCCTTTGTTCATCTGCTGGTACAGCTTGTTTCTCAGGGATGGAATCTGAGACGCCTGGGTCAAGAAGGTATTTCATCACTGCCATTTGGCTTTGTAGGATGGGCATTCTCGAAGCTGCCTCAGAATTCTTTCTTTCTACTCCTCTGTATGCCAGCTTTTCCTCAAGGCTTTGATGATATCCACCTCCCACCCCCACCTCAGAATTTACACTCGCCACCCCCTGCAGGGCCCTGCTTAGGGCTTCTCACCCAGGTGCTCATTGAGCACTTGCTCCCAGCACACAGGCAGAATGATGGGGTTTCCCAGGAATGGTATTGATTCTCATGCAACTTCTTCCCAGGGGAATCTGTCCCTACTATTTTTAAGTCTCAAGAATGTCCTTTTAGAGCCAGTGGGCCTGGGGCCTGCTCTGGTCACCTAATAGCAACAACTTTTGCATGCCAAACCCCAGTCAGTGAGGCCTAGATGTGAACCCCCAGGGCAGATGTGTGTGGAGATAAATAGTCAGCTGGGTTTGTGGGCCCCAAAGCCTAACTTCTCCCCTAAGGCCTGGGCTCTGGCCAGCCTCCTGCCAAACCATACTCCTTTGTGGCCTCCTCCCATCCTTCATTCTAGTCCCAGGTGGGGCTCAACCCTTTTGTATTTCCCGGTCAAGGGGGACCTAAGGCAGGAAAGGAGACAGAAAATCTAGTGGTTAAGAGCATAAATTCTCAATCCAAGCGCCAGGTTCAAATCCTAGCTCAGCTATTTACTATTGCATAACCCGAGGCGAATTGCTTAACCTCTTTCTCCAATTCTTTAAAATGGGATGCTAATCTAGGTGCCAGGTACTGATGTAAGTGCTTAAGGTCTGTAACTAATTTAACCCTCAGAACACCCAATGAGGTGGGTTTTCTTATTAGGCCCCTTTGATGATAAGGAGTATAGTACTCACCTCAGAGGAGATGTGAAGATGAGATTATATAATCCATGGAAAGTCTAGAACAGTGCCTGGCACATCACAGGTGCTTGATAAATCGGAACTATTACCTCCCACGTTATAGAGGATGATACGGAGGTTTGCAGAGGTCCAGTACCTTCTGAAGGGCATATCCCTCGTGGTTAGAGAAACCAGGTTTGCTGGCCCCAGGCCGCTGAGACTGCCTGCCTTTCCCAGGAGGCCCTGAAGGAGAAGGTACACTGAGAAAGCAGGAAGTGCTGCCCAGGTGTGCAGCTGTTATGATGTATCCTCACCCACAGCCCAAGTGCCAGATTCCAAAATGGCCCTCTGATGGAGGAGAGCCTGCCTTCACACCAGATTGCTGGACTGGGCTCCTGGAGGGAGAGCAAGGGCATCCCGAGACAACCTAAAGCCCTCGGGTGTGCAGGACTAGCCTCCTGAGCTGCAGTGCTCTGTGGCAGCAGCAACTCTACCAGCTCCCTGGGGAGGAGCCCATAGCAACCCCACTCAAACTGCCCTGAATGAAGGAGTAAACTCACAGCTCAGAACACTTCTTGAAGGCACGAGTAGGATGTCCATGTGCTGGAAGAAACCCCAGCAAGTCTCCCTGGCCACCACTCTGTGGACGGGACCACTGCCCCAGGCCCACCTCAGAGAGGCATAGGGTGGGCAGAGAGCCTGGGCCCTGTAGACATGGCTGCTCTGCCCTGACCTTCTGAAAGGCCTCGATCAGCTCTTGCTGGCAGTGATTCCTCAGGGGAGAAGACAGTTGAAGAGCAAAGGATTTGGTATTAGACGGATATGGATCGGGGTTCCAGCTCCACTGTTAGCCGTTTAACCTGGAGAAAGCCACAGATCCCTCCCGAGCCTCAGTCTCCTCAATATCTACCGAGAGAGCTACTGTGAGGCCCAAAGGAGATCATGTTCCCCAAGTGATTAGTGTAGTGTTTGGCATGTGGAAATTCTATTGTCAGCAGCATGATCAGTCAGATGAGAGGGCCGTGGGCCCAGGCTGCATGTTGGATCTACTGGAGAGCTCCTAAAAAGGACCAGTGGTCAGGACCCCACCCTGAGTGAATGGGTCGGAACCCCTGGGGGTGGGGCCCGGGCACCATTAGCTAGGATGGTGCTCCACAGCAGCTTGGATGGGCAGCGGGCTGAGGACCACTGGTCCAGGAGGTCTCTGGGTCACTTCCCAACTAACGGTCTCTGACTTCACCTCTCTTCTCCTCAAAGCTCCTTGATTTTTCCCTCTAAATATAAATATGCACCCTCAAGGTTTAAGGGGTTCTCAGCACATGCTGAGGACTTCCCCCATGGGCCTGTGTTTGCTGGTCAACCCATCACTTAGGTCCTTGTCCATCATGATCTTGGAAGATGGCCCTGGGACTCTCCTCTGGCCAGTCCCAACCCAAGGCAGCTCTGGGTTCCTCCTTGGAATCCAGCTCAATCTCTTTCTAAAGGGCTCGGTTGTTCTCACAGGCTGATCTTGTCATTCTCTGGCTTGTCATGTGCCTTCGCTCTTAATTTCTAAAGGGGGCTATGCACAGGGGCAATGGCCTTGGGCTCTCACTGCCCAAACCAGAAGAAGAGCAAAGAAAGGGACTCGCCACCTACCGCAGAGTCCATGGATGGTCTGCCTTCAGTGCCGAACGCTGCAGTCTTCTGTGTAGGAATCAGTTTCGACCCACGCTTTAGCTCTGAGCCCAAACTTTGCTTTTGTTTTGTTTTGTTTTGTTTTTCCTACTGATTCAGGGAGGAGAAAAGATAAGAACCAAGAAAAACAGATTTGAGGTTTTAAGTTCAGCTGCAATCCCACCCCCACAATGTCACTTCTCCCGGCCATGATCTCTCCATGCTCTGCATCTGCCCTTCTTCCCTGATGTGCATCGTCAGCTGCCTTGTGGTAGACACGCATGTCGGCCGGTCTGCAGAATCCCTGAAGTACGACTGTGCTCCCTTCTGCCAGGTACCTGCTGGAACAGGACTTTCCGGGCATGAGGATTGGACCCGAGCCGACCACCGACTCCTTCATTGCGGTGATGCAGGGCGAGGTGGAGGGGATCATCCCCGGAAACGCCCTGGTGGTGGACCCCAAGAAACCCTTCCGGAAGCTCAACGCCTTCGGCAATGCCTTCCTGAACAGGTGAGGGTGGAAGGAGCACATGCCCTGACTGTTCTCTGTTCTTCTTCTTGGAGTATGAGAAGGGAAAGCATGGGGCAGGGTCTTGGGAGACTCGATGCCTTTCCATACTTTGTGTCTCTTTTGATTGTCCCTTTCTTCCTGGGAATGTAGCTGAGTCAGTCACCATTGATTAGGGATGTGGGAGCTGCAAACGCTAGGCTGACTCATTCTGATCAAGGACGGAGCAGGGAAGGATACAGCAAGTTGAATCACATCCCCAGAGCTGCGCCTCCCGCCAATAAAAGCAGAGAGGGCGGCTCTGTATCGGTTCCCGCTCTTGCCTGTCCTACAGCAGGGATTTACTTTCGATTGGAAGGAGGGAGGAGAAGATTCTTCTCTGTTGCTGGACATCGTTTTTACTTGGTGGAAAGAACCCTGTGCTTAAGATGGAAGCCCCGAGTTTGAGTACTGACTCTCCTACTAAACTAACTGTGTGGCCTTGGACAGGTTACCCCTCTCCCCTGGGACAAGTGTAAGCCCGCAGACACCAGGGTCATTGAGATGGTTCGAGTGAAGAAAGCTCTAGGGAATCCTTGGCAAGCTGATCTGGGCCTTCCTGTTATCATTCTGCTTCACTAAAATGCAGGCCGATGCTGATCGCACTTTTTATGTAAATCCACAGCACAATTTTACATGCGAATTGCACTTAAAAATTTCAAAACTACTTTCTCTAATTGGAGGTATTGCAAGGTATGAAGGTAAAGACTATGGGCTTTGGCTTCAACAGACCTGGGTTCAAAGCCTACCAAATAGCCCCATGGATCTTAGACAAATTACCTACATTCTCCATGTCTCACTTTTCCCATCTGTAAAATAGGATAATAATAATATCCTCTTCCAAGAGAAGCAGACTGATGTGGCCCTTGTGAAGCTGGCATTTGACATCGGTGTTCAATGAGGGGCGAGATGACACCGAAAGAGTTAAAAAAGAAAAAGAAAGAAAAAGAAAAAGGACATTCCAGAGAAAACTGGAAAAAAAAAATAAAAGCGAGGAATGAAAGAATATGGTCACCAGAGACAGACACCTACCTCGAGCTTCAGCAAAACGTGGCATGTATTTGAGGATAGTGGAGTGTGCCACAGAATCTAAGGACCGGAATGTGGCTGGGCCTCAGGCATGGCAGAAACCATGGGCTGCGACTGGACAGGGGCCGCGTCACTGACGTTTCTACCCCGTTATCTAGCACAGCGCACGTAGCAGGCGCTCCGCAAATATCTGTTGAACCAAACTGGATATACTGACAACCATCATATCTGATCGTGTCATTCTTTTGCTTAAAGCGTTCTGATGGGTTTCTACTGCCCTCAGTATAAAAATCTAAATTTCTTAATGTGACTTTCAGGCCCTAGGGATCTGGGTCTCACCTCCCTGTCCAGCCTCATCTCTGGCCACTCCAACCTTCCCATTCTTGCCTCAATGATGTGTACACCCCTGGAATGTTGTTTCTCTCTCTCTCTGTCTCTCTCTCTCTCTCTGTCTCTCTCTCTCTCTCTGTCTCTCTCTGTCTCTCTCTCTCCCTCTGACACACACACATACACACACTCATTTCTGTGATGCATTTACTGCACCTACTTGTGTTAGTTACCTCAGGCTGCCATAAGAAGTTGCCACTAGGTGACTTAAAACAACAGAAATTTATTGTCTCATAGTTCTGGAGGCCGGAATCTGAAATCTGGGTGTTAGCAGGGCCATGCTCCCTCAGAAAACTCTAGAGCAGTGGTCCCTAACCTTTTTGGCACCAGGGACCGGTGCTCCTATGAGAATCTAATGCCTGATGATCTGAGGTGGAGCTGAGGCGGTGATGCTGGCGCTGGGGAGCGGCTGCAAATACAGATGAAGCTTCGCTTGCTCGCCCGCCGCTCACCTCCTGCTGTGAGGCCAAGACCTAGTACTGATTCACAGCCCAGGGATTGGGGACCCCTGCCCTAGAGGATCTTTCCTTGCTTCCTCCCCCTTCTGTTTGCCCTAGCTGTTCCTTGGCTAGTGGCAGCATAATCCCAGCCTTTGCCTCTGTTGTGACATGGCCATCTTCCCTCTGCACATGTCTGTGTCTCCACATGGCATTCTCCTATCTTATCAAGTGTTGTATTATAAAATTCTACACCTGAAATTTATATAATGTTATTAAGCAATATCATGCCAATACATTTAATTTTAAAAAAGATACCAGCCGTATTGGATTAGGTCATCTTTTGGAGACTTGGTTCAAGTCCTGCCTCCTGTGAAACCTTCCCGACCCCCTTTTCCATGTGTCCCTGGCCTCCTCACTTAACCTGCATCTCTGCAGCCATCTCACTGCATAGCAGAGGTTCCCTGAGACTATGGGACCACATAATAGACTGGGGAGAGTAGGACGCCTTTACCAAAAATGGCTAGAAGAGAGAATGCTCGAAGTAAGAAGGATCTAAGTTAGGTTTACCACTCTGTATTTCGAAAGTTCAGATGTAGCACTAGAAATATTTCCTTGAATAAGACTTGACACTATTCTAATAGTGAAGTTTAGTATTCGGATAGCTCTTTGAAGCCCAAATAAATGTTTCTGGGTGGTGTGACCCATTCATCAAGTTCAGCTCCAGTGCCTCTTCCTCCAGGAAGCTGTCCCTGGAAGCCATCTCTCTACCTTGGATCTCCCGAGCCCCTCATCTGACCTCCCTAGGGGTGCTGGTCCCATCATACCTCGTATTGTGTTTGCCCACGTACATGCCTCCTCCCCGACCAGACTGTGCTTCTACAGGAGCAGGGATTGGGGTTTGGATCCCTGGTGTCCCTGACACAGGGCTTCAAAACATATGGCTGCCTCAGGAACACCCAGGGAGCTTCTTCAAAGTACAGATCCTGGGCCCACCACTGACCTGGGGCCTGGGCATCTGCACTGCAAGGTAGCCAGGCTTCTGAACCTCTGCCCCAGGGCAGGGGAGGTGAACTTGCAGCTGAAACAAGGGTGCATGAGCGGCAGCAAGAGGACAGCGGCTCACCGCAGGCTTCCTCCTGTTCACGCAGGTTTGTGTGTGCCCAGCTGCCCAACCCCGTGCTGGAGAGCATCAGCGTCATCGACACACCAGGAATCCTGTCCGGGGAGAAGCAGAGGATCAGCCGAGGTGAGCAAGGCACCTGGTATGGTTGGCTCTGGCTCCATGCTGTGTTTGTTCTCTCTGGTATGTTCTCTAGCTTCCGGAGCAGGAGAGAGGCCCCCCAGGGCCTTGCTGTCCCTTAACAAGCCAGCGCTGCTTCAAATGTTGTGTGGGGTAGTCCTAGGCAGCTGACAAGTTCAGGTGCTGGCCTCAGTCTTCTCATCTGTGAAATGGAGACATTAATATCTTCCTTACTTCTCTCGCTCGGGTTATTCATTCTCCAAGCGACACCTACCATGGGCCGGACCCTGGTTGCTTCTGAAGTCCCTGCAGCCCTGCCCCAGGAGGGTGCCTTTCTGCAGGGGAAGCAGGTGCATGCAAAGAACTTTATCTCAACACGTGAGGATGACAGCGTGCTCTGGGGCTTGGGAGCAGGGAGTGGTATGTGAAAGCACTTTGAAAACTGTTCACTCCAGACAGACACAGGGTAATTGTTCATTAAGCAGGGTCACCAGCAGGATGGTTAGGAATCAGAACTCTGGAGCCAGCCTGCCAGGGTTCAAAGCCTGCCTCTGCCACTTCTGGTAGCTTGAGCAGGTTTCTTTGCTCTAGTTGGTTCATCTATAAAGTAGGGAGAAATAATTCTATATACATTATAGGTTGTTTGAGGATTAAAAGAAATAACACAGATAAAAAGCCTGCTGCCTGGCACATAGCAGCGCCCAGTAAACACGAGATGTTACAGATGGTCACCATCATCCTCTTGGTTTTTTCTAGCTCTAAAATGCTAGACCAGTGCTGTAAAAAAAACTAAAAACAACGGCTCCTGGCTCCCCGCTCCCAGCCGCGGCTGCCGCAACATGCTGTGTGTGCCCGGTAGCCCCCCACCCTTTCTGTGTTCTGTGTGCCTCTCTGGCAACAAAAGCGGATGAAGCTACATCCACCCAATACTGGAGTTGGAAGCTGGGCTGGAGCCAAATCAGCACTCGGAAGTCAGCATCCTGGAAGGGAAGGTTTTGGACTGAAGAGTTCCCTGGGCAGCAGCTGGGACTCTGGCCTCCCCTGAGCCGACCTTAGATGACTATCTGCTTCCCTCCCACACGGCCTCAGCCCCACTGGGGCAGACACAAGGTCTGTGCCACTTCAGTGGGTGACAGAAACCCCTTCTACCAAGGGCATGGCTTGCAAAGGCCAGCACCCACTTACCCCCAGACCCCTCCATGAGCGCCCAGGGCCGCATAGGTGCCAGGCCAGCACTCCCGAGGCCCTGTACCAATGAGTGCTGCAGGCGACGGCCGGATGCAGGCCACTGCTGCCAAAAATGGGCTGCTGTCCAGCGCTCCTGCCAGCTGCCTCAGCTTCCTCCCTGAAGACAGCAGCTCGCGGGCACCCGGCTCAGCAGTTGGAGTACACTGTGGCCGTGTCAATGGGGACAGCCAGTCTTGGCTGGGGACAGAGAAGGAAGACAGTGGGAGCGGCCTGCTCAAGGGCCTCGTGACCCCCAGTCTGTCCTGAAGGGAAGACAGAGCCTGCTCTTCGGGGACCTGTTTCTGGAGCAAGTGGGAGGGAGGGGAAGGCTGGAGGCTCCAGCAGGAAAACCTGCCCCTCCCCACATTTCACTGAAGGTGACATCTGGGAAGAAGAAGG